ACTTCATCATGGACTCCTTTATTTCAGCATCAACAAGTCTGCTCTTCTTTAAAAATAATAAAACTTTATTATCATCATCAGTGACAGATTTAAGCATCTGTTGAAGAAGTTCATGAATACCCTACATTAAAATATTAAATTTTCTTTCACAATTTATACTAATCAGTTACTTGTTTTGAAAAGCGATAAATTGGTGATTGATTTAAATCATAAACTTCTATGATTTCCATTAAGTAATCAGCATCGGCAGAAAGTGCTTGAACATTGCTCCAGTCAGTTATTTTCTTTCCAAGTTTTTTTACCCACTGCATGTTTAAAGGTTCAGACTCTATAAGTGTTGCTAGCTTATGTATATCATTTTCAATAGAAAGATCAGCTAATAAACCAATATCTTTAGTACACTGTGCATGACACTTCTCAACAGCAGATAGAAGTCTTTCTATAGTTTTTTCAGAATCGGCAGACTCGGTGCTTCCAAAAAGCAAACTAAGGCTACTCAATGTAATGGTTTCTTCTTTCAATTCATCTGCAACTGTACAGCAGTGGTCAAATAGAGGTACCCAAAGAGACTCATACACATCTTCCACCGATGATTCCTGAGTTACACATTTTTCCAGTTGCTTCTTTTTGTAATAAAAAATATCGTTTTTTAATCCCTCTGAATTCATAACAACAAACTGGACTAGCATTGGTGTGATCATCTTAGCTTCAGGAAATAGAGGGAAATCCCACTCTCCATCATCATAGTTACAAAGAGATTTTACAAGGTATTCCTGATGATTTTTTAACAGATCATTAGCTTTAACCAACAGACTAGATAAGCCTATATAACAGTGAATAACATACACAAATAAAAACACCAATATAATCTGTCACTAGATATAAGCTTATACCTTCAGGAATTGAAGAGGTGAACTCTTTTACAAGAAGCAAAAATATTTCTAATGTACGAACTCTTTTGCTTGCAAATCTCATATCATTAAGAAATTTATGTTGATCTACAGATAATGTAGACATCATTTGGACTATATATGCATTCCATTTCATTTTTAGGTGTAACAACATCTCAACAGTTAAATTTCCGGATTTTATATCACTACATAAGTCTTCTAGAATACCTCTAACATGCTTACATATTCTTTGAGGCTCATCAGACTGTATATTACCTAAGTAATTAAATAAAAAATCATGGCAACAACTGATATCATACTTAATGCTTTTAATATAACAGGCCACATATCCCATTCAAAAAGAGTGTTAATATCATTTGGTAAAGAAGGAAATTTCATTTCAATAAGATGCGTCAAAATACTCTGTGTTTTTACTGATCCCCCAGCAACAAGTTCTAAGTCCTAAAGTCATTAATGTTACAATAAATGCATGTACAGAAATTCGTACCTTGTCTGTAGCTGAAGAAATATGGGCCACCAAGCAATCTCTTGTAACATTAATAATGTCATGATCAGTCACTAGAGTAGTTAACTTATTAAATAATTTTACCATTAATTCAAATGATTGGATCTATAAAATGATATAATTACACAATTAGTGTATGAAATAAATACTTTATCAAAGCGAGCAAACACTATTTCTTGAATAATTTTTTTCCATTCTAAACTATTATCAGCAATAGAATAAATATTAGCCCAAAACTACAAATATATAGTATCAAATGAACATTAAAACTTTTATCTACATACCTGGTACTCTTTTTGAACACATGTTTCACGTCCATATGAAAATTTTACACCAATATTGACTATAGCCCAATTTGTAATAAATGGAACAACATGCTGAAGTTGTTCTTTCTTTTTATTACTATCCAAACTATCGACTGTAAGCAATAAAAACTTCAGTAATGCTACAACAGCATTTTGTCCTTTTT